ATTTATCTTCTTTCCACTACATATAATGTATATTAGAATAACGACTAGTTAGTCCAGCAGTTTAAAATAAATACAAATACTTGCAGCGTTGTCTGAACCTTCAAATTATATTAAATGCGAATTATATTAATACATTTTTCAACTGAAACATTATTATTGTAGGAAATAAACGCTAAATGAGAAACAAACTAGAACTTGTACTAAACGCTTTGGTAGCTGTTGGTAAACAAATTAGCTTACAATTTATATAAAAACTAAGTGGCTTACATAGGGGGGAGAAAAAAATTATAAATTATAATAAGTTAACACTAGAAGTAAACAGAAAAACGATATATGAATATCGATAAATGAATTCACTATAATTAGCAGTGCATTGTGCATTGCAAATTACGAAACTAGTTGCGACCTTGCCGGCAGCGGGCGTTCATTTAGAGCTATCTAAAAGCGACAGAATGAGCGAGAGAGACGGAGAGAGAAAGAGAGAGAGACAGAGAAGAAATAAAAAGAGAGAGAGAGAGAGAAAAGAGTCAGATGAGGAGAGAGGAAATCATATAAACAATTGATGTTGTTGCATTGCGTAATTTTAAGTAATATTACTCATACGATCAGTGTTACAGACCTGCATTAGCGTGTGCTTCGACTCAGTGGAGTCTCGTTGCGTCTGCGACGACGAGTTGAGGGTGGTGGTGCGCCGCAAGCGACGCGACTCCGGCTGATGGCGCGAGTTCAACGAGCCCTTCGAGTACTTCTTGCCCAGCAGCACGGCCTGCAGCAGATCAACCAGAGAATAAACAAATATACAATATAAAAGAGCGCTAGAGTGAACACTCACCTTGAAGGCCTCGCGGAACTTGTTGCTCATCAGATTGTAGAGCAGCGGATTGATGCAAGTGGACAGATAGTAGAGCACACCCGAAATATATGTCATCACCGTGTAGAGGAGCTCATGCTGATCATGGAGCTGGGCGCCCCGCGCTGGCGCGTAAATGGCAATCAGACGCTGCGCGTGAAACGGTGCCCAGCACAGAAAGAAACAGATGACGACGGCAACTGCGAAACGAATTGATAAACCGAACAATTGTATGTGTATTTATATTCATAAACGCTATGACAACTGTCACCAACTTATATCTTCTGTACTCTGTTTAGTATTTGTTTTTTTCGGGGCCCAATAAACGCGCGCGACTCATAAATGTCGAGCATGTCAAATGACAGACGCTATAAATTGGCCAGTGAATGGCTGATTAAACGTGCTCATCGTGTGCCCTCTGCCCTCTGCAGCCAGTTATTTGGTTATTTGGCTCACAGCCTGCGGCCATTCTACATAATTGGCTGTCATCAATGCCGACCCACACTCACCCAGCATCCGCAGCACTCGGCGCGTGCCATAATGGTTCAGTCGCCCACGCACCGAACTCAGCTGCGGCCCCGCGCTGTTCGCCAAAGTCGAGCTGGAGCCGGCATAGCGATAGAGTACCGTATCACTTTGCACCGACTTCATTTGCTGCTTCTGGAGCCGCACGCCGCTGTAGCCAAAGCCGGCTGAGGATCCACCGCCGCCACTGCCTCCGCCGCCGCCGCTGTTGCCGCCAATGACACTCGACCGGTAGAGATGCAGGCCAATGCACAGGTACAGCACCAAGATGATGGACATGGGTGCGAAAAAGAAGATGATTGTGGACAGCTGGAACGAGTGCTCCACTATCACGCGCACCACAACGCACTTGTCGATGCCGCCGTAGCTGTTGATGCCGAACTGTGCCGCCTGCGGTATGGCCGTCAGCACGGCCAGCAGCCAGATGAGAAATATGATGCGGATGGCGCGACTCAGCTTGCTCATGGCCTGGCCGAGGAACGGATGGCAAATGGCCATGTAGCGCTCCACGGTGAATGCTGTGATGGTCAATACGGTGGCATTGGCGGATGTTTCGGCCAGCAGGCCACGGCCGATGCAGAAGTATTCGCCGAAGACATACGGATACTTGGACCAAATGAAGTACATCTCCTGCGGCACACCCGAGAGCAGCAGCATGAAGTCCGATATGGCCAGCGAGAACAGGTAGTAGTTGGTG